TCTCAGACATCTCACGTAGCAGTATTTTTGCTGATACTTCTTCTAGGGCAAGAGAGACAAAGGGAAAAGTAAACAAACAGGACTACATCAAACTAAAAGCTTTCTGCACAGCAAAAGAAACCATCAACCAAATGAACAGGGGACCTACTGTATGGGAAAACATATTCGCCAGTGATACATCTGATAAGGGGTTAATTTCCAAAATATATAAAGAACTCATACAACTCAACACCGGGAAGACAAACAATCCAAATAAAAAATGGGCAAAGAACCCTAAAAAATATCCCTGGGTGAGAATAAATAAATAAATAGGCAAAGGGCCTGAATAGATACTTCTCCAAAGAGGATATACAGATGGCCAATAGACATGAAAAAAAGTGCTCAACATCCCTAATCATCAGAGAAATCCAAATAAAAAGTACAATGAGGTATCACCTCACCCTGCCACAATAGCTACTATCAGTAAGTCAACAAACAACAAGTGCTGGTGAGGATGTGGAATTATTGGAACCCTGTACACTGCTGGTGGGAATTGGCAGATTGGTGCAGCCACTGTGGAAAACAGTATGGAGTTTCCTCAAAAAGTTAAAAATGAAACTGCCATTTGATCCAGTGATCACACTTCTAGGAATATATCCTAAGAAGCCTGGAACACCAATCAGAAAGAATATATGCACCCCTATGTTCATAGCAGCACTATTTACAATAGCTAAGATCTGGAAACAAGTGCCCATCAGTAGATGAGTGGATAAAAAAGCTCTGATACATTTACACAATGGAATACTATTCAGCTGTAAAAAGGAAGGATCTCTTACCCTTTGAGATGACATGGAGGAATGTGGAGAGTATTAATGCTAAGTGAAGTAAGCCAGTCAGAGAACAGCAAATACTACATGATCTTACTTATATGTGGAATGTAATGAACAAAATAAACTGATGAATAAAATAGTTCCAGAGGTATAGATGCATGGAATAGACTGACAGATCTCAGAGGAGGGGGGAGGGGTTGAGGGGATGGGAAGAGATTAACTAAAGAACCTATATGCATATATGCATTACCCATGGACACAGACAATAGTGTGGGGAAGGCCTGGTGTGGGGTGGGGACTGAATGGAGGGGGAAATGTTGGGGGGTGGAATGGGGGACATCTGTAATACTGTAAACAATAACTTTAACCAAAAAAATCTTCAGGCATGAGTTAGTACTATTGACTGTGAGTTTGAGTTTAATGTTAGTGACTCAGCAATTTATATTAAATAAAAGTGTCTTTAAGCTGAAATGTTTAACAAGTTTATGTCTGAGGAGTTGAAATTGTTGTGCCCAAAGGCTCATAGGAGCCTAACTCTGTATTTCCTTTAAGAACAATGGCTTGATTTTCACAAATTCACTGTTCATGGTGGCTTTATAGAGCTTGATTACTTTGTTTTTATTTTATTTTTTTCTTTATTGATTTTAGAGAAAGAGGAAGGGAGAGAAAGATAGAAACACCCATGAGAGAGAACACTGATTGGCCGCCTCCTGCATGCCCCTCACAGGGGATTGGGCCCACTACCTTGGCATGTGCCCTGACCAGGAATCAAACCAGCGACCTCCTGGTGCACAGGTCGACGCTCAACCACTGACCCACACTGCCTGGGCTTGATTACTTTGAATGATGAAAACTTACTGTAGCCCTGGCCAGTTTGGCTCAGCAGTAAGCAGTAAGAGTGTCAGCCCGCGGACCAGAGAGTCCTGGGTTTGGTTCTCACTAAGGGCATGTACCTCGGTTGCGGTTTGTCCCCGGCCCCAGTTGCGGTCCTGTGGGTGGCAGTCACTTGATGTGTCTCTCTCACATCAATATTTCTCTTTCTCTTTCTCCCTCTCTCCCTTCTGCTCTGTCTGAAGATAAATGCAACAATGTCCTCGAGTGAGGATAAAACAAAAAGAAAACTTACTATAATTTTATCTTTTGTTGCACTATTTTACTTAGTTTTAATAGCAATTATAGCAATCTTCGATGTTTCATGTTCTACAGAATGAACATGTAAAAGATTTACTTTTATTATATGAGTTGAAAATAATCCAGCCATTATTAGAATGAACTGATTTTTCTAGTTGATGTATCTCCTGACACTGATAGGAAGCTAGTAGAGCCAACAGCATATCAGCTGTCACTTAACTTTGTTTAAATTAAGATAATTTGTAATCATAATTGACTAAGATAAATGTAAAGAATTATTTTTTTCTTTTTCCTAATTGTTGACATTATTACAGATGTCCCCATTCCCTCCATTCCCCCCACCTTTTGTCCACTTCCATCTAGGCCTGCCCCCCGCTTCCTTCTGGCCATCACCTGACTTTTGTCTGTCTGTGGGTTATGCACATATGTTTAAAGAACAGTAATTTGATCTAGTTGGAAAGTCATACTTTATAGAGTAATATTTAAAATATCTCCATATGTTTAGTTGGTATAATCAAGCTAGTCATAAGAAGGGGAAGCACCTTTGAATATTTCTTCCATCTTTACCCCAAACTGAAGGAGTCAGCTGTCCCTAGCTACTCCTGAATGCCATGTTTTCTGTTAAGTGAACTGGATGATGTCTGAGAATGAAGTGTCAGTTGCAGCCCATCCAGGGATGGGCTACTGCTCAGGGCCTGTCAGATTTTACCACATGTTAAATGGCACTGGGTTCACTTCACATGCATCTCACAGTGCTCAATGAAATTATGGCAGAGCCTGAAAGAAAAGCCCTGCCTTATTATAATGCTACTGTTTTAAAAAAAAAATCACTAGAAAATGGAAAATCCAGGACAAATAATAAATCAGTTGAGACAATGGGCATAAATTGTTACTATCTCAGGCAATCCGTTACACATAGACACTTTACCAGACACTTAAAAAACAAATCTCCTGACCCCAAACCCTTAATTATTATTTTCCCCTCAAAAAGGCTGTGCCTTCAATATGATACACTCGTTTATGACTGTTTAGTAATTTCCACAGCATTATGCACATGGAAAAGAATGTGAAGCATTGTTCTTAGTTTTATTCATTGTGGCCTTTTTTTTCTAGAACATTTTCTGTTTATCTTAGAACTTTTATTAAATTTTGCATGCCTGTATTTATTTCTGTATACAAATCTTTTATCAGATATATAATTTGCAGATATTTTATCCTATTTGTGACATTGGTTAACAAAATTATACAAGTTCCTGGTGCACAATTCCACAACTCATCATCTGTAAACTGGATTATGTGTTTACCAACCTAACTCAAGTGTCCTTCCATTACCCTTTATCTCCCACCCTCCTCCACCTCTCCCCACCCTTCCTTCTCCCCTGTAATCACCACACTGTAGTCTGTGACCATGAATTTTTTCTCTTTTTTTTTCTTTTTAGCTCAATCCCACCCCCAGTCTCCCAACCCTCCCACCCCGACAGCTGTCAGCCTATGACACTATGAGACTGTCTCTATTTTGCTTGTTAGTTCGTTTTGTTTCCACATAGGAGTGAAATTATATGGTACTTGTCTTTCTCTGACTGGTTTATTTTACTTAGCATAATGCTGTTCAGGTCCATCTATACTATTGCAAAAGGTAAGATTTTTTTCTTTTTTATGACCGGGAGGTATTCCATTGTGTAAATGCACCACAGCTTTTTTTTATGCACTCATCTCCTGATGGACACTTGGGCTGTTTCCAAATTTTGGCTGTTGTAAATAACTCTGCAATAAACATAGTGGTGCATATATTCTTTTGAGTTAGTGTTTCGGGTTTCTTCAGATAAATTCCCAGAAGTGGAATTGCTGGGTTATAAGGCAGTTCTATTTTTAATTTTTTGATGTAACTCCATACTGCTTTTCACAGTGGCTGCACCTACCACCATTTCCACCAACGGTGCACAAGGGTCCTCTTTTCTCCACATCCTTACCAACACTTATTGTTTGTTGACTTATTGATAATAGTTATTCTGACAGGTATGAGGTGATATCTCATTGTGGTTTTAATTTTCATTTCTCTGATGATTAGTGACATTGAGCATCTTTTCACATGTCTATTGGCCATCTGTACGTTCTCTTTGGAGAAGAGCCTATTCAGGTCCTTTGCCCATTTTTTATTTGGATTCTTTGCTTTTTGGTGTTGAGTTTTATAAGTTCTTTATAAATTTTGGGTGTTAACTCCTTATCAGCTGTATCAGTGAATATGTTCTCCCATTGAGTGGGTTGTCTTTTCATTTCTTTTGCTGTGCAGAGCTTTTTAGTTTGATGTAGTCCCATTTGTTCATTTTTTATTTGTTTCCCTTGTCCAAGGAGATATATCAGAAAAAAAATATTGCTATGGGAAATATCTGAGATTTTACTGCCTGTGTTTTCTTATAGGAGTTTTATGGTTTTAACTCTAACATTTAAGTCTTTAATTCATTTTGAGTTTATTCTTGTGTATGGTATAAGAAGGTGGTCTAGTTTCTTTTTTTGTTGCATGTACCTTTTCAATTTTTCCAGCATCATTTATTGAATAGACTGTCTTTACTCCATTGTATGTTTTTGTCTCCTTTGTCCAATATTAATTTTCTGTAAAGGTGTGTGCTTATTTCTAGGTTCTCTCTTTTGTTCCATTGATCTATATTTGCTTTTATGCCAGTATCATACTGTTTTGATTACTGTGGCTTTGTAGTATAGTTTTATATCAAGTAGCATGATTCCTTCCACTTTGTTCTTTTTTCTCAAGATCGATGTAGCTATTCAGGGTCTTTTGTGGTTCTATATACATTTTTTTAAATATTTGTTCTGGTTCTATGAAATAAACCATTGGTATCTTGATAGTATGCCTTTATTTTTAAACTAAAGACATGTAATTCATTTATAGAATTACTATCTCTTAAATGAGTTATTTTGTTATCTTAATGAAAAGATTAAAAATAAAATTTGAGAATAAAAGAAAAGCAGTTTTTACATATATTGGATAAAATGTATTATTTGATTATGATTATGATTACAATAATACTTTATATTTTATTGCAGGATTAATGAAAAGGACTTACCATATACGTTACAACTTTTTACTAAAGCCTTGAGAGATAGGTAAGTGACAAGCATTTTTTGAAGAAATATTTCTAAAACATTAAATAATTTGATTGATCAGTTTCCTGACAAAGTGGGCAGTGGGTCAAATCTTTAGAGATTTACCTCTTTTCAATGAAAAATTAATGTAATGTCATGTTTACATGAATCTTAATGTAACATACCCCTAATATCCAATAAATCATATTTTCCAAGGACCTGTATTGTTATAGTCATTATAATGAAGAGCATTGTTAATAATACATACAAGTTTAGCATGCTCTAAAACTTAGAGCGCTAAAAAAAAAAATGTCATTAAATTCAATGTGGTACCCTGAATTGGATCTAAAACTGAAAAAAGGCATTAATGAAGAACCAGATTAAATCCAAATAACGTCTGTGGCTTAGTTAATAATAATGTACCAATGTTAGTTTTTTAGTTTTGACAAAACCAGGGTTATTTATGTAGGATGTTAACTATAGGTGAAACTGGGTGAAGGATATATAGGTACTCTGTAGTTCTTTGCAACTTTTCTGAAAATCTAAAATTATTTCAAAACAAAAATTTATTTAAAGCAGAAAAAAATCAAGGTTTATTGATTTGAAATTATAGCTTAGAAGTGACTTTTCTGTATCATAGTTTGAAAAATCAAAATTATTAATTATCTTTCTTTAAAAATCCAGATTTCATGAAATAGAGATGTAGGGAAATATGCTTCTATTATTTTCATTTTTCAGTTTCTAACAGGTGTGGGGTTTTATTTTTTAGACATTGGCTTGTTGTCCATGAACATCTCCTTGTACTTGGCTATAGCTTTGCCGTGAGTCCTTTAAGGTACTTGTGTGTTTTTCGGTAGTTTAGTATAGCACTTTCTCTTAACACAAGCAGGCCCTTTAAATGGTTCCCAGAACACTGTTTTTCTTCTTTTCTTTATTAAAAATGTACTCTTAGAGGCATAAAGACTAGTTATATGACTGAGTGGTTTGGAGTTGAGACCCACTTAGTGTAGTTTTCTTCACTCACATTTACTTGAGCTTCTAGGTCAAGTACTAGATACAGATAACCTGTTGTTAAAGGGTATGAATAAAGATGAACATAACTCTTTTTTTTTACTGTTTTCTTGATATTCTGTTTTTATTTCTTTTGTTATCTGTTTTTAAAGATTTTTATGTTGTTGTTACAGATATTTCTCTTTTTTTTACCCCATTGACACCCACCCCCCCATCCCACCCATGCCCCGCCCCATCACCGGCTTTGTTGTCCATGTCCATTGGTTATGCATACATGCACATAAGTTCTGTGGTTTATCTCTTCCCAACTCCTCTTCTGAGGGATGTCAGTATGTGCCCTACCTCAATGTTTCTGGGTCTACCGTATCCCTCAGACTGTTATGTTAATTATATTCCATATATAAGTGAGATCATGTGGTATTTGTCTTTTTCTGCGTGGCTTATTTCACTTAGGATAATACTTTCCAGGTCCCTCCATGTCATCTCAAAGGATAAGAGATCTTTCTTTCTTACAGCTGCGTAGTACTCCATTGTGTATATGTACCACTGCTTTTTTATCCATTCGTCTACTGATGGACATTTGGGCTGTTTCCAGATCTTAGCTATTGTAAATAGTGCTGCTATGAACATGGGGGTACATATATTCCTCCTGATTGGTGTTTCAGGCTTCTTAGGGTATAGTCCTAGAAGCAGAATCACTGGGTCAAATGGAAGTTCAATTTTTAATTTTTTGAGGTAACACCATATTGTTTTCCATAGTGGCTGCACCAGTCTGCATTCCCACCATCAGTGCACTAGAGTCCCCTTTTCTCCACACTCTTGCCAACACTTGTTGTTTGATGATTTGTTGATGGTGGCCATTCTGACAGGTGTGAGGTGATATCTCATTGTTGTTGTTTTTTTGTTGTTGTTTTTATCCTCACCCGAGAATATTTTTCCATTTTTTGTACAGATAGAGTAGGAGGGAGAGAAAGGAAGGGAGAGAGAGAGAGAAACATCGACGTGAAGGGACACATCGAGTGGCTGCCACCCGCACGACCAACCACGGCCGGGGACAAACTGCAACCGAAGTATGTGCCCTTAGTGGGAACCGAACCCGGGTCTCTCTGGACCGCAGGCCGACGCTCTAACTGCTGAACCAAACTGGCCAGGGCTCATTGTTGTTTTGATTTGCATCTCTCTGATGATTAGTGATGTCGAGCATTTCTTTATATGTCTCTTGGCCATTTGTATGTCCTGTTTGGAGAGGTATCTATTCAGCTCCTCTTCCAATTTTTTAATTGGGTTCTTTGTCTTCCTTTTGTTGAGTTTTCTGAGCACTCTCTATATATTGGAAATTAACCCCTTCTCTGATATATCATTGGCAGTGATGTTCTCCCATGCAGTGGGTTGCCTTTCCATTTTGATGATTGTTTCCTTTGCTGTGCAGAAGCTTTTAAGTTTGATGTAGTCCCATGTGTTCATTTTCTCCTTTGTTTCTGTTGCCTTAAGTGATTTATCAGTGAAAATTCTGCTGCGTATGATGTCTAAAATTTTGATACCTGCATTTTCCTCTAGAATTTTTATGGATCCACGGGTCACATTTAAGTCTTTTATCCATTTTGAGTTTATTTTTTGTGTATGGTGTAAGTTGATGGTCTAGTTTCATTTTTTTGCATTTAGCTGTCTAATTTTTCCAACACCATTTATTAAAGAAGCTGTCTTTACTCCACTGTATGCTCTTGCCACCCTTGTTTAAATATCAATTGAGCATATTGCCTTGGGTCCATTTCTGGGTTCTCATTTCTGTTCCACTGGTTTATATGCCTGTTCTTGTGCCAGTACCAGCCTGTTTTGATTACAGTCGCTTTGTAGTATAACCTGATATCTGGTATTGTAAGCCCACCTACTTTGTTCTTTTTCAAAATTGCTATAGCTATTCGGGGACTTTCTTGGTTCCATATGAACTTTCGAAGTATTTGTTCTAGTTCTGTGAAATATGTCATTGGTATTTTGATGGGGATTGCATTGAATCTATAGATTACTTTGGGTAGTATGGACATTTTAATGATCTTAATTCTTCTAATCCATGAACAAGGTATGTGCTTCCACTGTTTTATATCGTCCTCTATTTCCTTTTTCAATGACCTGTAGTTTTCTGCAAATAGCTTCTTTACTTCTTTGGTTAAGTTTATTCCTAGGTATCTTAATTTTTTTGCTGAGATTGTAAATGGGATTATTTTTTCAGTTTCTCTTTCTGTGAGTTCATCATTGATGTATACAAATGCCATCGATTTTTTATGTTAATTATGTATCCTGTTACTTTGCCAAATGCATTTATTAAATCTAGTAGATTTTTGATGGAGTCTTTAGGGTTTTCTATGTATAATATCATATAATCTTCAAATAATGACAGTTTCACTTCCTCCTTTTCAATTAGGATCCCTTTTATTTTTTTCTTCATGTCTGATTGCTGTGGCTAAGACTTCCAGTACTATGTTAAATAAGAGTGGTGAAAATGCCCATCCCTGCCTTGTTCCTGTTCTTAATAGAAATGTTTTTAGTTTCTGCCCATTGAGTATGATGTTGGCTGTAGAGCTTTCATATATGGCCTTTATTATGTCGAGATATGATCCCTCTATTCCCACACTGCTGAGCGTTTTTATCAGAAATGGATTCTGGATTTTGTTGAAAGCTTTTTCGGCATCTATTGATATGATCATGTGTTTTTTGTTCTTCATTTAATTTATGTAGTGTATCACATTTACTGATTTGTGAATATCGTACCAGCCTTGCATCCCTGGGATGAATCCCACTTGGTCATGGTCAATAATTTTTTTGATATATTGCTGGATCCGATTTGCTAGTATTTTGTTCAGGATTTTGGCATCTATGTTCATCAGGGATATTGGCCTATAGTTTTCTTTCTTTGTTGTGTCTTTTTCTGGTTTTGGAATTAGAATTATGCTGGCCTCATAGAACGAGTTTGGAAGTCCTTCTTCTTCTTGAATTTTCTGAAATAGTTTGAGGAGAATGGGTGTTAGTTCTTTTTTGAATGTTCGGTAAAACTCCCCCATGAAGCCATCCGGGCCTGGGCTTTTGATTGCTGGGAGAGTCTTGTGTATGTCTTCAATTTCCTTAGTTGTTATTGGACTGTTCTAGTTTTCTATCTCTTCCGGTCCAGTTTTGTGAGACTGTGTGTTTCTAGAAATTTGTCCATTTCACTTAGATTGTTGAATTTGTTGCCATATAGTTGTTCATAGTAACTGTTAACGATCTTTTGTATTTCTCTGGTGTCGGTTGTTACTTCTCTTTCATTTCTGATTTAGTGTATTTGGGTTCTCTCTCTTTGTTTCTTGGTGAGTCTAGCGAAGGGTCCATCAATCTTGCTTATCTTTTCGAAAAACCAGCTCTTTGTTTTATTGATCCTTTGAATTGTTTTTTTGGTCTCAATGTCATTTATTTCTGCTCTGATCTTTACTATTTCCTTCCTTCTACTTGCTCTGGGGTTTTCTTTTTGTTTATTTTCTAATTGTTTAAGTTGTGAGATTAGACAGTCAATTAGAAATTTTTCTTGTTTCTTGAGGTAGGGCTGTAGTGCTATGAACTTCCCTCACAGAACTGCTTTTGCTGCATCCCATAGATTTTGTGTTGTTGTGTTCATTTTCATTGGTTTCTAGGAAGTTTTTAATTTCTTCCTTGATCTCCTCGGTAACACATTCATTGTTCAATAACATGCTATTTAGCCTCCATGTGTTCAAATGTCTTTGCATGTTCTTGTTGCAATTGACTTCTAGTTTCATGCCATTGTGATCTGAGAAGGTGCTTGATAAGATTTCAGTCTTCTTGAACTTGTAGAGATTTAGTTTGTGTCCTGTCATGTGGTCTATCTTTGAAAATGTCCCATGTTTTCTTGAGAAGAATGTGAATTCTGTAGTTTTGGTGTGTAATTCTCTGTAGATATCTATTAAATCCATTTGGTCTAGTACTTTATTTAGAGTCTCTGTTTCCTTGCTAATTTTTTTGTCTAGAGGATCTATCCAGTGGTGTCAATGGGGTATTGAAGTCCCCTGCTATTATTGTATTGCTGTCGATTTGTCCTTGGATGTCCTCCAGTAGATTTTTAATATATTTTGGTGCTCCTATATTGGGTGCATATATGTTTATCAAGGTTATATCTTCCTGTTGGATAGATGCTTTCAATATTATGCAGTGGTCTTCTTTGTCTCTAGTTATGGCCTTCATTTTGAAATCTACTTTATGAGGTATAAGTATTGCTACCCCAACTTCTTTTTGCTTTCTGTTTGCTTGAAAGATTTTTTCCCATCCCTTCACTTTCAACCTATGTGAGTCTTTTATTGTGAGGGTGGTCTCTTGTAAACAACATATATATGAGTCATGCTTTCTTTCTTTCTTTTTTTTTTTTATCCTCACCTGAGGATATTTTTCCATTTTTTGTACAGATAGAGTGGGAGGGAGAGAGAGGAAGGGAGAGAGAGAGAGAAACATCGACATGAAGGGACACATCGAGTGGCTGCCACCCGCACGACCAACCAGGGCCGGGGACAAACTGCAACCGAGGTACGTGCCCTTAGCGGGAACCGAACCCGGGTCTCTCTGGACCGCAGGCCGACGCTCTAACTGCTGAGCCAAACTGGCCAGGGCATGAGTCATGCTTTCTTATCCAATCAGCTACTCTGTGTCTTTTTATGGAGCAGTCAGTCCATTTACATTTAAGGTGATTACTGATATGTACTTGTTTATTGCCATTTTTGTTCCTTAGCCTTTTTTTTTTTTTTTTTTGGTCTGGGAAGCTCTTTATTTGACCTTCTATTTTGAATGATAGCCTTGCTGGGTAGAGTAGTCTTGGATTCAGACCTTGTTTTTCATGACCTTGATTACTTCATGCCATTCCCTTCTGGCCTGTAGTGTTTCTGTTGAGAAGTCAGCTGAGAGCCTTATGGGGTTTCCCTTGTAGGTAACCTGTTGCTTATCTCTTGCTGATTTTTGGATTCTCTCTTTGTCTTTAATTTTTGGCATTTTAATTACTATGTGTCTTGGTGTGGGCCTGTTTGGGTTCTTCTTACTTGGGGCTCTCTGTGTTTCTTTAACTTGAATGCCTTCTTCCTTCACCAAATTAGGGAAGTTTTCTGTCATTATTTCTTTGAATATATTCTCTAACCCTTGCTCATTTTCTTCTTCTTCTGGGACTCTTTTGATGCAAATATTATTTTGTTTCCAGGTGTCCCACAGTTCTCTTAAGATGCCTTTCTGTTTTTGAATCGTTTTTTCCTTTTGGTTTTCTGATTGGTTGATTTTTTTCTACCCTGTCTTCTAATTCACTGATCCAGTCCTCAGCTTCCTCTACTCTGCTTTTTAGACTTGCCAACGTATTTTTCCTTTCTGATATGTGATTTTTGATCTCTTCTTGGTGGTTTTTTATTTCCAATTGGTTTATTTTCAGCATCTCTATGTTCTTATTCATGCTGATGATCTTTCTCAAGATCATGGCTCTGAATTCTAGCTCTGTTAACATGCCTAATTGTTCCACATTGATCTCATCTTTGGTGGAGGTTTCTTGTTCTTTCATTTTGCTTCTGTTTCTGTGTTTCACCATTTTGGCTATCACTGTGGGCTTTGGAGCCTGTCAAGTTTCCCTGTGGGTGTTTGTGTTCTGCTGTTTGTGGCTCCCTCTCCTGGGTTTAGATGAGCGAGAGAGGACCCAGGTTAAATACCACTGTCAGGTTTTACTTTCCTGGTTAAAGTTGCTTGCCCAGGAAAGGTACTGTTATCCTCTGGCTTTTTGCCTGGAGGCTAGCAGTCAAGGTTACTTGAAGAGTTTTGGGTTGTCAGTTGATTGAAAAACTCCCTCAGGTGCTCAGCATAAGGGGATTTTCCAAGGGTGGGGCTGATTCTGGTTGTTAATGAGCCTCAGGTAGCATTTCAATGGCCCACAGGGTGGGGTTAGATCTCCGAGGGAGGGGCTGCTACCTCTCCCCAGAGCCCTTCATGGTCACAATTCGGCAAAAGCTCTGAGTGCCCTCCAAATCCTGAGTGTCCCCACATAGTTCCAGTCCCATCTGCCCTTCCTCAGCTGGAGCCCAATGTGAGTGGCTGTGGCTTTTTTAGCCTCTGTCCCTGCTCTGTGCTGTGGAGCCACTTGGGAGTTTAACCCGAGGGCACTGCTCCCAGCTAAGGCCGCTGCTGTCTGTGGGTTCCCAGCCCCGTCTTGCGCCTTTGCAGTCCTGCCAGGATCGAGTCAGTGTCCCTGGTTATATGGTCCTTGCAAGGTGCTTTTCTGTTGCTTTTTCCCATTGATTTGTCTGTGTTATAGTTGGAAATACAGTTTGGTTCTGGGAGACGGTCTGTGTAGCTTCCATTCACTCCACTGCCATTTTGGAATCTTCACATAACTCTTAAATAACTGTTTCTGTAATTGAGCTAAAATAATTGATTGCTGTCAGATAATAGAAATTCTGTTTCCAAAATGAACTCTAACCGTATAACTCTTTTAAATTTCTATAAATATTAAAAGACTTTAAGAAGCGAATTCTGAAACTATTATATAACTTTTCATTAATAAAAGTAAAATAGCTGTGCTGGCCTTATAAATGGTTTCCTGATTCTGTTGCCAGCTTTAGTGATTTTAGTTAAACTTAAATTTAATAAAGGAAAGTAGAAATATATTATACTTAAATGATATAGACATTTAAAACAAGAGACTTAGGCCTGAATGACTCTTACAGAATAATTCTTAGGCATGGAAAGTTCTGTTTTGCTTGATATTTATTCATAATTGTTGTTATCAACCTCATGTTAATAGAATTCACATCTTTACTTCTTAATTGTGTAATATAACTGTGCCATCCTTTGGTAAAGAAGTTCATAAAATGGAGGAGAATGTTTTCTAGATGAGTTTAAATGGTACTGATTATATACCAGTTTACCCATTGAAAAACAAAACAAAACAAAAAACTTTTTTTCTTTTTCTATGCTAGAAGAGCATTAAAAGTGTTGCTCTTAGAGACATGCTTTACCATTCAGCTGACTCTCATTTTGTGGTCATCTAAAGTATAAATGAGAATAGCTAATATGTATTGAGCACTTTCTATATACTAGATTTACAGTGATCTCATTTAATACTCACAAACACCTATGAGATAGTTTGGAATTCCCTTTATAGATGAGGCTGAGAGAGTAACAGATGACTTCAAGCTAACCCTGAGGATATGGGGCAGAAAGAATAAGTACCCATGTTTGGCTCATAATTTTACTAGCTTCCAGGAAATCCTGAAGCCTTGGACACATGGTCAATTTCAGATAACTTCAATTCTTCTGAGTAAAAGGATGTCTGATCCCCTGGGGAAACTAGTCTGGAGTACAGTCTTCTAGTCTCTCTTCCAGCCTTGATCCTGCTCATTCTGCAGTTCCCTAACTTGTCAGTTGTTCTCTGTCAACTGATTAATCTCTGAACACTCACTTGTTGTGTGCTTCATTGATCATATGCCAAGAACTTTTGGCATCTCTGGGGAATATGATCTCAACGTGTCTCCTAGTCAGTGTTGGGCAACTAGAAGTTGCTAGTTGGAGTGAGAACTTGGATCCAGAAACTAGGACATATGCCAGAGGCTAGGCATGGAATAATTGAGCAGCTGACACATGAAATGTAGTTATCCAGGCTCAGACAGTAGGCAGGAGTCAGAAATAGAGTAGGCACGTGCCTTTGAAAGGTGGTTTTTAAAGAAGATTATGATGGCTGGCTACGGACTTTATAGTTTACAGATATAAAGTAATTTCAGCTTCTTATTGAAGGAGAATAAGTTACTAACTTATTTATTATAGTGCTTATACAGAGCAGAAATCTCTGTGTAACTTCCTCACCTGGCTTTGTTTTTCTATAGTTCTAAATCTCTAGTACCTCTTACACTTGAAAGCATAACATACACATAAAATTTCAAAATTTCCCTTGCTACCTCCTATCTCCTATTCTTTATGGTCTCCAAAAGTTGGCATTCTTCAGGGCCTCGACCTTGGCCACCTTCTACATTTATTCTCTATGTGATATCACGTGATACTTTGCTTTAAGTGCCACCTGTTCTCCCAAATTTATTTCTTTGCCTTGACCTCTCTCATGTATTCAAGGCTCATATCTATGTCTGCCTAGTCAACATCACTATCTTAAAGTCTAATAAACATTTCAAACTTAACATGTTTGGAATAGAACTCTTGAACTCTCCTCCCAAAACCTGTTCCTGCCTCCTCCTTCATCTCTGTAAATGGTCCGCCCAGTTGTCCAGACTAAAAACTAAAAATCACCTTTGACTTATTTCTTCTTAACCAACATCCAGCCCATCAGTGAGGCTTATAAGTCCTCCTTTCAAAATATAGCCCAAATCCCCCTTTGCTGCTGCTACCCTACCACTACTACTTGAATATAGCTTATAATCACCACTATACATTCCTACATGATAGTGTAAGTAGCCTTCCTTATCTCTTCCTTGTACCTCTCCAGTCAGTTTTCCATATAGGAGCAAAAGTGTTTTTATTATGTTTTTAATGTTAAACAGTTCCTGTCATTCCCCTATTCAGTACTCTTTAGTGGCTACGCTTCACACTCAGTATAAAACCCCAAGTCTCACCATGTTTTACCAGACCCTGCATGTTCTGCTTGCTGACTTTATCTCTTACCATTCCATAGTACTTACTTTGTTCTAGCCACAGTTGCCTCTTTGCTATTCTTTAAAATTTCCAAGTCCATTTGGAATCAGCTAAATACCTCCTACTCCCCTGCCCTACACCATCATTCTAACCAGTCCAGCCTCTAGCCTTGTACCTGTGAAGGTAGATTTAGAGAAAAGAAAAGTACATGTGCAAGGCCCTTTAGTATATATAGTAGGAAAGGTCATACTATAAATTTTGCAGCTCTATTATTCCAAGTTTCTGTCTTTTGAATTTCTTTCAAATGTAAGAGGGACTGGAGATTTAAAGCTACAGAAAGACATAGCTAGATCAATGGAGAGAAATTACAGAGAGGGTTTCTGCTCAGTTTAATCAGCACTATAATGAATACATTGGTAACAATCATATCTGTGTGAAAATAGTCTGGGCTGCTTCATTAAACAGTGAGTTCTCCATCATTGGTAGTGTACAAATTGGGTTGATCACCTAGCATGTGATGGAAGAAAACTGTTCTGGAATGGAGGAAGGGACAGTTGATTTCTAAGATCTTCCCAATACTGAAATTATATCTTTTTAGAATATTTTTTTCAGAGCAGTTATTTTCAGGGTCTCCTCAGATTAATCCACCTGTATTTGTTTTGGAAGGTTTTACCAGTTTTACCAATGAAGGATAAAGCACTTCTCGGTGAAGTGCCCAATATTAGAGATGAAAGAAGAGCTAATATCAAGGTTAATTTCCAGTCAGATTGACTAAGTCCTCGTCTAGGAATTAATTACTTTGAGGTATTTTTGTTCTCTCATTTTTAATTAAAAGTTATTTTGATTGATTTTAGGTCTAAAATAAGTAATATGTATATACTAAAAAATTCCCTGGTAGATTTTAGTTATTAAACAAAAGTTTCCTGGGTTGTAGAAGTAAGGAACATGATATTTGGAAATAGGCTGTGGTCAGAGTTTGCTGGCAATGGAAAATTCACTTCATCCTTAGCCTTAAACCAGAAGCTCTTTGAGAAGTAGTGACTATGTTTGGATGTTTCATTGAGGGTGTCAAATAGCCATTTCCCTATCTTATCTTAGAAAGGAAAAATATGGTTTAAGTAATAGAGAACTTAAAGTTATAAATCCTTTTAGTTGAACCTAAATAAAACTATTCCTGCAAATTCAAGTTTCTTATAACCATTGAACTGTGGTACTTGGAATTAGTAATATAGGGAAGAATGACTTTTAGGGTTTCTGTGATACTAAAGTACTTTATATTTGATTGCTTTGGTAGCTAGCACCAAAGGATGACACATGTAAAAGTTTCATCCAGCCTGTCATAGCTTCCTGCAGCACCAGGGCCTGCCCCACACCAGCATGTGCTTAGCACGCCGTGAGAAATCAGTGTTCTTATGAATGCACTATTCTGACTCTCTAAGGAAGGCCTGAACCCCTTTACATGTTTTCACCTTGAGTCTCTTATTTCATTATCTTCAACAGGTTTCTGATTTTGTTGCCCCCTTTCCCATTGTTCCTATCTCTGTCTTTTAGATTGACTCTTCTTTCTTCCTGGTTACTATTTGATGTCACCTAAACAAAACTGATGCTCTGATCCAAAACAGTTTGGATTATGTCCTGTATTGATATTCCTGTCTTGACTTGAGCTGGGATGCTCCTAGGAGGTGAGCCAGACAGTCATACCTTCTTGATTCAAAAGCTAACATAAACATTGCATATGTGTCATGGTTCTTGATGTCTTGTTCCTAGGCAAATAAGAATAATTTTTACACCTGGCTTTAGCAGAAGACTAACATATCCACAATCTTTTTAAATCCAACAGTGAAGTAATAAAGCAGAGAAAAGGCAGTTAGTTATCAGTGTAGTACACTTCTCTCTTTTTTTTAATCCTCATCTGAAGACATGCTTAGAAAGAGAGAAACATCAATGTGAGAGAGATCAGTTGCCTTATGTACATGCCCAAACCGGGGATTGAACTGGAAACCTAGGTACATGTACTGACCAGAAATCAAAACAGCAACCTTTCCATGCACAGGATGATGCCCAACCAACTGAGCACCTCAGGCCAGGCTGTAGTATATTTATTTCTGTCAAACTCAGCTACTTACAACAGAGCTGAGAACCAGGAATGAAACGAAGGAGGCGTTTAAGCTACATACAGCTGATGTCTGAAAGGTCAGACCCTAGAGCCTGTTTATTCACTTGTTTTTCTCTTAATGATAATAGCAAACACATAAATAACATTGTTCTGTAAATGCTTTGACTTTAGCTCATTTAAACTTCATAACAATCTTGTGAGGTAAATACCATTATAATCCCCATTTAACAGATGAGGAAACTAAATCTTGGATAGGTTGCATAATTGCTCATCGTTACACAGCTTATTTTGTTATAGCTGGAATTCAAACTTAAGTGTATAACTACCTGTTAGTTTTTGATTCTTTAATTCTCTGACTCATTTTTCTAAGAAACCTGGTTAACTGATTTCTCAGACCACTACAGATTAGAAATGGGTTCAGTGAGGCTCTGTTATCTAGGGGTAGATATTTACCTTGCTAGGCTCTGATTGGCCCTTTCAAGGAATTCTGCCTTAGCAATAGCCATACATTTTAAAGCTTGTGTTTCTTGCCTGACTTGGTTCAGCCCTAGGTTATCCATAGGGGCCTTAGTGGCTTCCTGTTTTTGATTATTCCAACTTCTTCCAGACTATTAGTGAGGAGGAGGGGAAATGCCCTTGGGGCAACACTAGGCTTGTTTTTGGTTTCTCCCCAAAATCCAACTTTGGTTTCCTATTATCCTTTCCAAGGTAACTTGGCGTTCTATAATAGAAACACACTCTATAGTTTGTGTGTTATAGCAGAACTCATTCAGCAGTCCTGTTACTTTGTCTAAAACCAGCCTGTCCAGGGTTTGTTTGTTTGTTTGGTTATGTAATTGACCTGTGCTCCTTCCAGGAGCTTCCAATTTACATTTCTATAAATGGGGGCTGGGAGTTTCTGGCCTTGGAAGCACAATTCCCATGAGGATTTTAATTTTATTTTGAGATCTGTAGAGTCCAAATAAACATCCAGATATACTGTGTACCGGGTTGCCTGCCTGTGTGGTGAGCTCCAAGTCACTTCAGACTTCCCACGTGTCTCAGCCTTCCCTTCCTGTGGTCCTGTCTCTCACTGCCTGACCTGCCTCTATCCCCACACTGGTGTTATCTATGGTTGTTATTTTTTAAATTTAATTCCTATAAATATTTAATTCCTTTTTTACCTTGCCTTCTTCTCTTTTAGTAAGGTAGATTTAGAAGGTTTTTAGAGGGAGATCTATTCTTCTTTCAACCTTTAAAGTTCAGCAACCTGAATTTAGAAGTGAAGTACCTAACTCTCACTATGGAGCAGGGAAGGAAGTAATAAGAAGACAGGATAGGAAAGCCTGGTTCATTTAAAACCTCATCTTCCTGGAGAGGAGTTTGTTGGGAAGAGAAGGTGTTCCTGGAATCTGTATGGGTTGCTCCTGAGGATATGTACTACCAAACTGCATATATAAAATGAAACCCCAAAAAGCTGGCAAGGACAACTTGATAAATGAAATAATACCAAGTCAGTGTAAGATTGAGCTCTAAAATAAAGATTACTCTACACAAACCCTAAAATAGCTTAAAACCAAGCCTCAAAACAAGTATATTTATCCACAAGTAGCTTTCTTCCAGAGGAAGTCCATCACTCTTTAAACAAATACAAAAAAAAAAAATTCCAGCACTCAGAAATATAAAGTTCACAGTGAATTGCATCCAGTCAAACATTGCTAGACAAAGAAGCGGGAGAAGAAAATACTATAACAGGAGACAATAGAAATAGACTCTGAAATGACAGGGATGATAGAATTAGCAGATATAAAAAAGAAAAAAAATTGGAACATCCAGAGATAAAAATAATAGAAAATTGAAATGAAAATTTTACTAAATTTGATTAAGTGCAAATTACATCTTTCAGGAGATAAGATCAGTGACCTTGAAAACATAGTAATTTAACCACAAGCATAGAAAGAAGAAAGTTGAAAAGATGAACAGCAATTTGGTGTCCTATAGGATAGTAACCGTGGGTCTAACATAAATTTAATTGGAGTCTCAGATATGGGGTGAAAGAGAAAAAAATATTTAAATAAATAATGGCTGAAATTTCCCCAAATTTGAAGAAAACTGGAAACCCACAGATTTAAGAAATTTATCAGACCCCAGACAAGACACACCTGTGTGTGTACATACACACACACACACACACCCCCCCCAAAACATGCCATAAAAATGCTCAAAATCAATGATAAAGAAAAAAATTAAAATTGGGCAGAGGGAAATAAAGACATTACATACAAGTAATAAAGTTAAGAATGGCAGCAAATTTGTCATCAGAAACTGTGCATACCAGAATGCAATTTAATGGCATTTTTCAATTTAATGGCATTTGTTAACCTAGTATTTTATATCCAATAAAAAAAATCTCCAGAAAATAAAGGAAGAAACAAATAAAGGAGAAAGAACTTTTTTAGACAAAAGCCAATACAACTCATGACCAGCAGATCTATACTACAAGAAATAGTAAAGGAAGTTCTTCAGGCAAATGAAAATTATATCACATGGAAATTTGGACTTTACAAAGGAATAAAGAGTGGTAGAAATGGTTCATATGTGGATAAACATAAAACACATTCTTTCCTCCTATTTGTCTTTCTTTAAAGGGTAACTGACTATTTAACCCCCCAAAAATAATATTGGTGTCCATCTAGTAGGATTTATAACATATGTGAAAGTAAAATGTATGACAACAAAACTCACAGAATGAGGTGGGGGAAAGGAAGCATATCATGGTAAGGGTCTTCTACATAAAGTGATCTAATATTTTTGAGGGAAGGTTGTAGTAAGTTAAAGCATCTACTAAAAATGTTTTTGAAAAAGTGTTATAACTGATAAGAATGAAATCCTTGAAAATAATCCAACAGAAGACAGGTTTTAACTGATTAATTTTATCAACCTTTTAAAGGAGAAATAACTCAGAAAATAGAGGAAGAAGGAACATTTTTCAAATTATTTGAGGAGACCAGCGTTACACTAATACCAAAACTAGATAAAGATATTATAAGAAAACTGTGAACAAATATCTTTCATGAACATGGATGAAAAATTTAACCATTAGCAAATTAAATCCAGCAGTATATACAAAAAATAGATTTATTCTAGGGATACGAGGTTGGTTTAACATTGGAGAATCTACTATCATAAGTGATCACTTTTACAGGAAAATGGGGAAAAAACTGTATGATACTGTCAAAAGTTGCATTAAAAGCATTAGACTAAATTCAACAACTATTTATAATAAAAATCTCAGAAAAACAGAAACAGAAGGGAGTACAACCTGATAAAAGTCATCCGCACCTAACCTTTAGCTAAAATCTCATTTAATGTTAAAAGATAGAATGCCTCTTTCCCCTATGATAGGAAACAAATCATATGCCAACTCTCCTCCCTGTGTCTAACATTATAATGGAAGTCCCAGCCACTGTAACAGGCAATAAGAAGAAACAAATAGCATACAGATTGGCAAGGTACAAATGAAACCTCTATATTTGCAGATATGATCATGTATAGAGAAAGTGCTAATCTCTAAAAAGCCACTAGAATTTGTAATTGGATTTATCAAGATTGCAGAATGCAAGGTAAATACATAAAATCAGTTGATCTATATGATCTATGTACTAGCGATGAAAAAATGGAAACTGAAATTTAACATTTATATGGAAATACAAAGGACCTAGAAAAGTAAAAAAAAAAAAGACAAATAAGAACAGTATTAGAAGGTTTTTACTACTTAATTTCAAGACTCCCTTTACATTATAAAGCTTTATCTTTAAAGCTACAATGATCAAGGTGGTGTTGGCCTAAGAAAGACATGTATCAATGGAACAGAATAGGGAATCTGGGATTTTTATGGTTTTGAATCTAACATTTAAGTCTTAATAATACATTTTGAGTTTATTCTTGTATATGGTATAAGAATGTGGTCTGGTTTCATTTTTTTTTTTTTTTCACATATCTGTCCAGTTTTCCCACCACCATTTATAGAATATACTATGTTTATCCCATTGTATGTTTTTTTTCTCCTTTGTAAAATAGTAGTTCACTATTAAGTATTAAGACGTGGGTTTATTTTGGGGCTCTCTCTATGTTATTTTTATGCCAGTATCATGCTGATTTGATTACTCTGGCCTTGTAGTATAGTTTGATATCAGGTAGCATGATTCCTTTCACTTAGTTCTTTCTCAAGATTACTATTTGGGGTCTGTTGTGGTTCCATGTACATTTTTAGAATATTTGTTCTAGGTCTGAAATATGCCATTGGTGTCTTGATATGAAGTACATTGATTCTATAGATTGCTTTGAGTAGTATGGACATTTTAAAAAAATGTATATTTATTGTTGAAAGTGTTACAGATGTCTCCCTTTTAATGATGTTTTCTATCAGTGAACATGCTATATGCTTCCACTTGTTTGTATCTTCTTTAGTTTCTTTCTTCAGCACCTTATAATTTTCTTAATACGGGTCTTTTATATCCTTGGTTAAATGTATTCCTAAGTATATTATTTTATTTTTTGATGCAATTATAAATTGTTGGGGTTTTT